GCAGGCCTAAACCTGCTATCGCCAACCCCTAGTCTGCGACCTGTTAGGAGCTGGGCACACAGCATCACCACCTCAACTCCACCTGCTGTCCCATCCCTAAGTCCAGGGAAAAACTGTATTTCATGAAGCCAGCCCCTAGTGCCAAAAGGTTAGAGACTGCTGGCTAAACAACGTGCCCACTTAGAATGAACTTGCCATAGTAAGGTTCACAGCCTACAAGGTTTGACAATTAAGTTCATGAACTCATCCTAGTAAAAGTGCTATATACCTCACTGCCTTCAAAGGACTCCTCTTGGGAAGCTAGGCACTAATGGGTCCAGTCCACCCTTCAAAGCAGTTTTGGCACTCTTTTTCTGGAATGGCCATCAATAGCCGTTGTCGTGTGTGTACTACCCTTGATGTCCTGAATGTCATCAAAATGTCTTCTTTTCAAGATTTCCTTTATCTTTAGGTGAAGATGCGTCATTGGGAGCCATATCAGCTGAGTAAGGAGGGTGTTACTTGTTTACTGGCTAAAAACTAACTCACAGACAGTGCCATGGGAGCTGGTGCATTGCTGTGATGCAAGAGCCAAGAGCTGTTGGCCAAGATTACTAGTTAAGATTTTCCTGTTTCTCTATTTATGTTTACTTGGTCTCCTATGCTTTTCACAGTCAGGTGATGGTTTTGATGCACAATTTGATGGATTTTTGTGATGTTTTCATCAGTTCTGCTCATTTTTGACTGCCCTGACCTCTCTTCATCAGTGACGCTTTCTCTCCCCTCAGAAAAACATTTAAATCCATTTGTACTCTGCCATTTTCTTCATGGCATCATCCTGATAAATTTGGTCTAACATATTCCTGATTTCACATCTTCTCTTGCTAAGTTTAATAAGAAATTTAACATTTGTTCATTGCTCTAATTCAAGTGCTGACATTTTTATGACAGCACACAAAACACAAAATAATTAACACTAATCAGCAAAACATGACCACACAATGACACAAGCACAGCTGTGCAACACTGGTCCTACATGTACCACAGTTAGGAACACTCACCAAGTTGTTGGTACAGTGCTGCCGGTGTTGTTATATTAAAATCCCAACTTGATATAACATGTCACTCCATAACAGATCATTCTGAGAATGCCAGTATCCCAAAAACCGTTTAATTATGACTCCATCATTGCCCCCACACACAAATAAGAGTCAAACTATGAATCGTCCTTACAAGTATTGCAGTCAAAGGCAAATACCAAAGTTGTAGAAAATTAAAAGTAACTTCATTCAGTGTCACATGTCTGCAACTTAACTTCAAATCATTTGGCAAAAAAATGGGTGTGGTATGTATGTATGAGATGTTAGGGTACTTGAGGTTCACTGTACTTTCAAGTTTCAAAAGTTCTTTCAACTTTTCTACAGGTTTTAAATATTCTAAAATAAAAGTTCATTCAACAAAGCCACATTGGCCTGAACCAACATACAAGGTGGACATGCACAATGGACATGAGCAATTTACTGTGTTAAATTATTCTAAGTTGCAAATGAACTTTAGGTCCACCCTGTATTAAGTCAGTGCAGTTGTCCACATTTCATACTCAAAACACATCACAGGTCAGGAGTTCTAGGTGGGTTCTACCCACAACTGCAATCTCTTTTTTCTACGTAAGAACGCATTTCTTCTATTCACCTCCATTGCATGCAGGCAGGATAAAACTCACACAATATGTGATGAACAACAGGAAGTAGGTAAAGAGTCCCAAGATTTCCAAGTATAGCCTGCAAGTGGTTAAGTTAGAAAATGTCTGACTCAGTTACCAGTAAGGACACAGCATTTTATCTTGTGTTCAATACCACCCAAGCACTGTATACATATTATTCTACTTATTAAGTACCTACTATACATCAAATAGTTGATGAGTGCTAGAGATACCAAATTAATTTGGACAATCTTTGCACCAGAGTTACTCAAAGTTAGATGGGAAAACAAGCATATAAATAAACAGCTCTAATAAAGTGTGGTCAATGCTGTCCATACCAGAGATATAAACAAAGTGCTGTATGGACTCAGAGAAGATAAAGGAAATGAAACAGATGGAATTAGTCTGAAAATACCCTTAACGATGTCTGGGAATAAGAAACACATTGGGCAAACTACCATTCCCTAGTATTCCCTACCCATGATAGATGCAGCAGAGCACAGGAGTCAATAAATCCCACCTTACACTTTTCAGTGCAATGAATGGATGACCATCTTAATGACAGACTTTAGGTTTACTTTTTAAACCATTTGATTTAGTGGGATTCAAATCCACTCTGAGTAAAGAGCCCATACAGATAATAATCCTGGTGGCTGCTCTATCATGTTCGACAAAAGGAAAGTTCTCATTCCCCACAAGCAGGTTTACAAATCCCTGGCCTGGAAAAGGGGTTTAAACAGTAAACACTGTAGCTAAAATAGAATCTTCCTCGGGACCTAGGAGAGATTAATTGGGCAATAGCCCATTAATAGCCTACTTCTAGGTAATCATAACATCTTTTTGAGTAACATCAGACAGACCCAGGGAGGGTGTTATTCTTAGTCCGGTGTGAGGGACAGGCAAGAGGACAGGGTGAGTCATGCTTTATTCTGCCCTAGGGAGGCTGAACCTGAGCCTGTCCCTCTGACTCAGCACCTTGCAGCTGACAGGGCCAGAATGCCGGAAGCAGGCGGGCTGGTTAGGAAGCAGGCGGGCTGGTTAATGAAGGTCGTTTAACAATAGTATTCATTCCCTGAGGCAGGCAAAAGGAAATGTGGGAGAGAGAATGTGAGGATAGGCTGGAGTTCCAGGGAAGAGAGTTAAGGAACATGGGAAAACAGAGCCTCTCTTCCTCTCCAAGCTCTTCTCTATTGCTCCTCTGGACTCTCCTGAGGTCTTTGCCATAATCACTCATTTCAATAAAAATATCTTATGTTTATAAGGCGGGCGACGCCTGTGGCTCAAGGAGTAGGGTGCTGGCCCCATATATCAGAGGTGGTGGGTTCAAATCTGGCTCTGGCCAAAAACTGCAAAAAAAAAGAATATATAAGGCTGAGTATGGTGGCTCATGCCTGTAATTCTAGCACTCTGGGAGGCCGAGGCAGGTGGATTGTCTGATCTCAGGAGTTTGAGACCATCCTGAGCAACAGTGAGACCCCATCTCTAAAAATAGCTGGGCATTATGGCAGGGATGTGTAGTCCCAGCTACTTGCGAGGCTGAGGCAAGAGACTGACTTGAGCCCAAGAATTTGAGGTTACTGTGAGCTATGACGCCATAGCACTCTACCAAAGGTGACAAAGTAAGATTCTCTTTCAATGTTCTCATCTTTTTTATGTTGCAAATCTGCTGTTATCAAAGACATTTCAACCCCCCTGGACCACAGGAGGAAAAAGAGAGTGTGGATAAAGAGGGATTTATACAGCGTGAAGAATCACGTTCCCTCTAAAACCAGATGTCTAAGATTTCCTGTAGTATGGCTGGCAGGGTAAGAGCTTCAAGAGCTTTTGTCAGGACTCTACGGAAGCAGGCTCGTAGGTCTCTCTCCCCAAACTGAGTAACAGCCACCACAACCACCAGCAGACTCCCCTTGTTGCCCTGCTGCCTCCAAGCCCAGGGCTTTCCTTTTCCTCCTTCTTATCTAGCCAGTACTGCAACCTCAACAGGGTCTCCAGGCCTGGTGCTGCTGTGCATACCACCTAATGCTCCTTTCCCACCCTCTTCCTCCTGTCCCACATCACAACAGTCACCTGCCCAGAGCTGTCATCCTTGCTAAAAAAAAAAAAAGAGAGAGAGAGAGATTGATTCCCACTGACCTGGGAAGGAGTCAGGAAGGGCTAGAAGAGAAAACAAAGTTCTCTTCCTACCCCTGAGGTTTCTGTTATAGAGAATTCATGTTTCTGGAACATAGCAGGAACCAGTGAATATAACAGATTCCAGGTCAGTTACTATTTCCATGGTAGCTGGGCAGGCACATTGCTCCTCTGCAGGCTGGCCTGGGACCCTCACTCCCAGAAGAACTCTTTCTATGGGTAAATGCTGCCATGTGGCAAGTGAGCTGCTAATGACCTCAGGCATGGGCTTGTAGAACAGGGAAATTTAAAAGAGCAGCCATCCCCGGCTATAAAATAATCCTACTTCGATATATTATCACACAGAGATGTACATACATACACAACATATAAGGAGGGAGGTGGTAAATGTCAATTACCAACTGGTCTAACACAAACACACACACAGGCAAAACCCACCTTCGCTTACAGATGGGGGTCAGCTTCCCTAGACCATCCCCTGAAATTCATGCTTACTATGAGGAAGTGGTTTCATAACAGTGAGAATACTAAATACACTACAAAGCAAGTATGACCTCACATTAACAATGGAAGATCAAGAAAAATATCTGGAAAAGAATACAGACCCGCAGAAGACCTAAATCTAGACAGTATAGTTCCTCCAATGCTCATTTTCAAACAGGATCTTCTTTAGAAAATAAATGCACGGGAGAGCCTCCTCATGGTCAGAAGGCATGGGTCTGAGACACAGCACACACTCTCCTTTACAGAGCATGTCCAGTGGTTCCCTGAGATGATGCAATGACACAAAGGCAGGATCGGCAAGGTGCATGTAGAGGTAAGCAAGTGGGGACCTGAGGGGAGAGGCCAGAGAAATCGAGGCTGAAGATTCTGAAAGGATTTTGTGTGTGGCACTGAAGTCCTTAGGTCTGAAAGGCCAAGTCACAGGGTAACGTGGGGTCTGAAATAGGAAAATGAATTGAACAGTTTAAATAGAGGGTTCTGTAAGGTCATCCCATCTAAGCTGCTGCCCACATGTTCCATACATAAGCCATCTCCGACCTGACAGCTACCAAATACTTGGCACAGAATTGACACATTAATTTAATCTCCAATAATGAAACTGAAAACAAAGGAGGCAGCCTCAGAAGAGAAGGGAAGGAGGGGAGGGAGGGATGGTGCACCTTTGCTTCTGCCCAGTTTCACCCACCTCATAGAAGAGTCCATCTGGGAACTGCTGGAAGCACTGCGCGCACACGAAGCACTGCTCGTGGTACAGCTCTCCGTTACTGTTCACGATCTTCTCTGCAGGCGCAAAGCCTCCTTTACAGCGTTCACAAGTGGCGCTGGCCAGGGCATTGGCCATGTTGCTGTAACACACAGAGGACAGCAAGTCACAGACTGTCAACCTTTTCTTAGACTTAACAGCCAACAACACAAAGAGCTGATAAGCAAATGCTGTTTGATCGCAAAAAATATATAAAACTCAATCTCTTGCTTGTTCCTCAGGACCTCTAACTGTTCTAGTCTCTCTCTCTCTCTCTTTTCTTTGTAGAGACGGTTTCACTTTATTGCTCTCAGGAGAGTGTTGTGGTGTCACACAGCTCACAGCAACCTCCAGCTCCTGGGCTTAGGCGATTCTCTTGCCTCAGGCTCCCGAGTAGCTGGGACTACAAGCACCCACCACAACGCCCAGCTATTTTTTGTTGCAGTTTGGCTGGGGCTGGGTTTGAACCCGCCACCGTCAGTATATGGGGCTGGGGCCTTACTTACTGAGCCACAGGCACTGTCCCTGTTCAAGACTCTTTACCATCGCACCTTAGGATAAGGGCCTCCTGCTTTGATCCTGTTTGGCTAATGCTTTGGGCCTTCTTCTTATTGAATATACTATGAGTAAACGCCTACTGTGCAGTAGGCACTAGCGACAGAGATGAAAGTCATGAGATGCCCTCCAGGAACTTGGGCTTGCAGCTTGATGGGTTAAAATAATTAATTAAAATAGAATATCCACAAATCAGACAGGTGGGACTGCCCCTGTTGTCCTAGCTACCGGGGAGGCCTAGGCTAAGAGGATCACTTAAGGGTAGAAGTTGGAGGTGTTGTGAGCCTGTAAATAGCCACTGCACTCCAGTCTGGGGTAACATAGTGAGACTTTGTCCCTAAAAAAAAAAGAATCCACAAATGACATCTCAAAACTAGTTTCTTTCTCTTCAGAGAACAGAATCTAAACTGCACGTCAACTGAATGCCAAACCATAACCTAGACACAGGTTATCTCTTTGAAAGTAACTGCTAAAGTACATCTTTTTTTAGAGACAGAGTCTTACTTTATCACCCTCAGAAGTGTGCCGTGGTGTCACAGCTCATAGCCACCTCCAACTCCTGGGCTTAGGCGATTCTCTTGTTTCAGCCTCCCAAGTAGCTGGGACTATAGGTGTCCGCCACAACACCTGGCTATTTTTTTTTTAATTTATTTAAAAAAAATTTTTTTTCCTGGCTATTTTTTGGTTGTAGTTATCATTGTTGTTTAGCAGGCCTGGGCTGGATTTGAACCCGAAAGCTCTGGTGTATGTGGCTGGCGTCTTAGCTGCTTGAGCTATAGGCGCTGAGCCTATAAAATATATCTTAAAAGGACATAGTTTTACATTATAATGATCATTTTACAAATGGCAAAACATGTTCATATAGGTGGAGTGATGAACCCAACATCACAAAGATAGTTCGTGGAAGGCACAGGGCTAGAATCCATAACTCCCCACCCTGGATAAAACCATACTGTCAATCAAAACAGATTACAACAATAATTTCAGACACTAGAGAGGACACAACAGGGACACATCATGTTTTACAAGTCAGGAAAGTGAAGCCAGGCAGCTAAGTTCTCCCGCTGAGCCCAGTGATTTGGGTGATTCCCTCATCAGTGACCTCACGGTACCTAAAGCACATAGGTATTCAACAAGTGACCCATGTGCTCTCTAACCACGGGGAGTGTGGAAGAAGAAAAGCAAGACGGCTTTGACAAACATTAACTAGATGAGGATTTCACATAAAGGCCTGTTTTGTTTCTCAAAGTTTCAGAAATAGAGAAGGCCCCCTACACAAAGCAATCACCAGCCAAGCCGTCCTTCGCAATTTGGCAAGTTTATTTTCAGATGCCCACTCACTAGAGAATAAGCTCTGCCAGTGTGTCTGCCCCGCCCCCAGTGCAGCTTCTGACCTCCCAGATGTTACTACCAATGTTCCCCTGGATCTTCACACCACCCCATGAGGCAGATGAGTGGACAGTTTCCATTTCACAGATTAACCAGTTGCCTTTCCCCTGTCTGTTTCCACATTTTGCTCTTTCCTCAGCAAAAGTAATCACACCCCAATTTCACTCGACCCAATGGAATCCAACTGGGTACTTTGCCTTCTTCTCCCAAAGAACAACAATCCCATTTCGTAGCCTTGCCATAAATAATTCCGTGAGAAATATCATGTCCATCACTCCACAATAATCAAAATTCAACTTCATTTAATAGGCTGGGAATATAGAACTAAAATGTCACAAAAAATAAAGGAAAAAGGGAGGCGGCTTTGCTGCTTGGCAAAGCTGGCCTACATCTCACTTTAAAATGAATTTATACTTAGTCATTCCAGAATTACTGTGGGTTGGGGGGAAATCTGGTTTGTGTTGCTTCCTTTCTCCTGACCAAAGCCCACACACAGGCATCCTTTGACAGGAAAGCACAGTGACCCCTAGATCATCCCCATAATTCTCAGTACTGTTTTGAGGGAAAAGTATATACAATTACTTTGGAAACCACAAGTTGCTACTCAAACATATGGCATTATTAATTTTAAGCCCTCTCAAAAGATTCATGGAACCTTAATGATCTGACTAAAACTCCAAAAAAGGTGGGAAAGGATATTCTGGGATTTCCTGGTTTACCTATATTATTGTCTTACAAAGTATAAGGGTCACCATGTCACCGTCAGGGGTCTGAAAGATTCTCTCTTTTCCAACTACATCTCTGTGGAAGGCTATATTTTCTCTATTTCATCTAGAACAACGTATTATAATAGGTTGAATGCAGAAGCAGATATCTTTCATTAAGATAGACATTAACAAGATTTGCAAAATGTAAAACAATGCTAAGCCTTTTTCATTTTAGAAAAGTTATTTTTCATAAACATATGAATATTAGCCTCTCACTAATATTAACATGTAATTGGCTTATATTTTTAAACAAATTACTAAATATTTAATTTTTTTCTCAGTTTAAATTTGTTATATAGTAAATATCGATAAGCAAAAGTTCTTTGGGAGCCTTGATAATTTTTAAGAGTGTTAAGAGGTCTCCAATCAAAAGGTTTGATTGCCACTGACCTATTGATACTCATACTATGGATTGTTTATATTCAATTTCAAATACTCAAACAGAATTAGGAAACAGATAGACAGATTATAAAAATAAACATATGTTTATTTCCCATAAATAGGAAAAATCAACTAGTTTGAGATAATGTAGTACGTATTTTTTCAAGGAATATTCAAGAAACAACCAGCAGGGGATGGGAGGTGGGGGGTGGAGAAAGAAAGAACAATCATCTCACAGTCCCATTGAACTGTTCACATTTCCCTCTCCTCTCTTTGTCTTTGACCCTCTGGCACTTTTTTTTTTTTTTAAATACTACATTTGATAGAAGTTACTTTTTAAAAGTCATGAATGACAGTTATGGTTCTTATTAGGTTAGTTATAGTTAAGCAGCTAATTTTTCAGAAGATTTTTCACTAGAGAGTGTTGATAACAAGAAATATGTAAGTAGGAGGATGTGTATATATAAAAGCCTTTAGTACAGAATCTTCTTAGCTGGCCAGGCATGACCTATTTAGATGATCTATATCCACAAATCAACTTGCACATACTCATGCAGCTTTCCATTATTTAAGAGCCTCATTTATCAAAGTATGTGAAACAAAATTTTTCGTCTTAAAATGCAACAATGTATAAATCCAAAAATTATCTTTAGAGTTCAAGCAGTTAAAATGTTGGCTATAGTATTATAATTCCCCAATTGTTCTCCACCTGAGCTGTTAGGCGCTGTGAAGATGAAGGACATCTGTTGTAGCACATAGAAAAGGCTCTGGGCGTGGTAGTTCATGCCTGTACCTTAGCACTCTGGGAGGCAGAGTAGGTAGATTGCTTGAGACCAGCCTGAGCAAAAGTGGGACTCTGTCTCTACTAAAAATAGGAAGAAAACTAGCCAGGCATTGTGATGGGCACCTGTAGATCCAACTACTCAGGAGCCTGAGGTAAGGGGATCACTTGAGTCCAAGAGTTTGAAGTTGCTATGAGCTATGATGATGCCATGGCACTCTATACAGGGTGGCAAAGTGAGATTCTGTCTCAAACAACAATAATAACAAGAAAAGCCACACAGAACAGATCTATTTCTACAATGGACAGGTCAGTTAAAATCTCCTTAACTCTTAAGGATGTGCAATAATTCCAAACTCACAAATTTGAATGAGGTCAATAATCTTATTTGAGTTGGTTGAAGGCAACTCTGCACTCTTTTTACAAAAAATCTGTTTGGTATTAGCTGGGTGCTGTGCCAGGCACCTATAGTCCCAGCTACTCAGGAGGCTGAGGTTGGAGCATCACCTGAACCCAGGAGTTTGAGGTTGCTGTGAGCTAGGCTGACACCACAGCACTCTACCCTGGGCAGCAGAGTGAGACTCTATCTCAAAAACAAAACAAAAAAACACCAAAATCTGTTTGCTAAAACCCATGTAATCATGTAAATTAGACTAATCTTTTAGCGTTAACATGTTCTACATCTATATGTGTACTGATATGCTAGTTGCATTAATTATTCCTTACTTATTACTTAAATCCCTTAAAGACAGTATTAAGAAACCCAGTTAGCCTACTTCAAACTGCTAATTGTTAAACAAAACAAAAATGTTTAACTTTATCAACAATATGTAATTCAATTTCTCATTGTTTCACCCAAACTGTTTTAGAGGGCAACATTTATCTATTATAACTCTTGACAATGAAAATTCTAAACCTCCCTGATAGATGACATAATGAAAATACACTGTTCTCAGGAACCTCCTGGAGACAAAGACTGTCCTCTGAGCACTTCTCCTCACATTTGCATGTCTTCTCGTGGGGAAGCAACCTATCTGCCTCCCTGCCCCCAGATCTCACTGGAAAACCCCCGCCCAAAGCCTAGTAAATAAAACTGTGTTATCCAGGCCAAACTGGCTAATGTATAGATAGCCCAAGAATTCAAGATCTAAAAAAGGGCACTCCAGAAGAGACACTCACAATTTTGCATAAAAGTCACAAAACTCCTTGTAGACCTTTACGTCACTGTGT